AATACTGGGAGCCTAGTTGCTGGATGCGTTTAGGCCTCTGGGACCCGAAGCTATCTGTGTACGCGGGGTGCTGCAGGGAGCTTTGGAGACTCCCAAAGCCCAAAAGACCAGGGTTTGGGTTTAGGGTTTAGGATTCAGGGTTAGGATTCAACCCCTGCGACGCAACGAATATTACGGAGCCTCGGAAAACGAGGGAGCCTGGATCCTGAGTGTTGTGTGTCCTTAGATTGCTTAGCAGCATGAAACATAGATAGCCATGCAGTGCCTTACAAGACATCTATAAAACCTTATGAGCCCTTTCTACACTGTACATATTCCTAAATAGGGTGTCCCTGAATCTTGAGAAGCCTGAGATGCTTCTCAAATGGGCCATGTTGGAGCCCTCACGCTCCACTACTAAATTACTAAACAGCTTATTCTAACTGGCATATAACATAGAACCGCCAAAACATGGAATGATTACTTGATGAAACAACACAACAGGAATGAAATCAGACCTCTACTGTCCTGACCTTCTTGCGCAGGGTGTGTGTGTGTGTGCGCGTGTTTGTCTTCTTCCCAAACGTCTGCGAAATAATCAGAAGAAAAAGCCATGAAATGGTCTTGAAACGATGGTTCGGCTTTGGTTTGGGGATTTTGGGTTTAGGGTTTAGGGTTTAGGGATTTGGGATCTACGTCATCTCGTCCCCAAACCCTGGAGATTTCGAACCCCGACCCGAAGATGGAGGCCCGGGTTCCCTTTTAAGGAGTTTTAAGGAGCTGGGTTTTAGGGTTTAGGGTTTAGGATTTAGGGTTTAGGATTTAGGGTTTAGGGTTCAGTGTTTAGGGTTTAGTGTTAAGTTACCCTTACCTTCATTAAAAAACTATTGACTATAGGTCCCCACTAGGGTCACTCAAATTAAAGTCCTCAACCTTAACAAGAAGCCATAACCTGCGGTCCTGGTGTCGTGGCGTATGTTGGGCCAGGGTGTCGTGTTTTGTTCCGTGGCCTTTTTGCTTCAGGCCGCTGCCACTGGGTCCTAGATTAGGGCGTAGGGTTTAGGGTTTAGGGATTAGGGTTTAGGGTTTAGGGTTTAGGACTTTGGGTTTAGGGTTTAGGATCTAGGGTTTAGGGTTTAGGGTTTGTGCGATCGGCGGAGGAAAAACAAAACACCTCAGCCACGAAGCCCGCCCCATGAGTGCCGCACCCCAAGCCTGCGTCCGTGAGTGGCTGAGCGCGTGAGGCGGCCGCGGGGCAAAAAAAAACACCGGCAACATCACCACTAGCAAAAGAAAAAATGAGCAACGACAACAACAACAGCAAGAAGACTCATAAGAACAGGAAGCATAAGAATAAGAAGCATAATAGCAATAACGAGAACAACAACAACAACAACAACAACAACAACAACAAACAACAAACAACAAACAACAAACAACAAAAAACAAACAACAAACAACAAACAACAAACAACAAATAACAAACAACAAACAACAAACAACAAACAACAAACAACAAACAACAAACAATACAACAACACAACAACAAACAACAAACAACAAACAACAAACAACAAACAACAAACAACAAACAACAAACAACACACAACACACAACAAACAACAAACAACAAACAACAAACAACAAACAACAAACAACAAACAACAAACAACAAACAACAAACAACAAACAACAAACAACAAACAACAAACAACAAACAACAGACAACAAACAACAAACAACA